TTTTTTTTTTTTTTTCTATTGCTTTCTAACACTTTGTATTTTGTCCAACATTTTTTTTTTTGTTCTTTTTCAGGTATTTTTGTCCGAACTATTACTCCTCCATCTCCTTCTTGGGTCCTCCAGGACTTTATCAGGCAATCCACTTCACTCACTGCAATTCTTCTTTTTCTCTCTCCCTTTGTCCAGAAAGAACACAAAGAGAAGCAAACTCACAGAAATTTAACCGCTAAAGTATGTTTCCATGGCTTAAAGAGAAAAATAAAAAAAAAGACAAAAAAAAAAGAAAAAAAAAAAAAACAGAGGCAAACAAAAGAAGTTTGGAGTCTGAAATCACCAGATCTTCTTATTTTTCTTCAATTCATCTTACTATTAAGCTTCCTCGGCATACACGCCAGACCTTTTACCTTTTTTTTTCACTCTTTTTTTTTTTTTCTTTCTTTCTTTAAAATCCGCTGCGCGCGCTCTCCAATTAGAAATGGTACGCAATGCAAATTACCCATAAAGCGAAAAAAAAAAGAATATTTATACACATAAAATGATAACGTCGTTTGCGTACGGATACCTTTTCTTTCTCCCCTGTATTACTACTTTATTTTTTCTTCTTCTTCATTCAGTATAAGTATCTGTGTCCCTCCATCCCTCCAGTGTTATCTCTCGCAAGTTCATATGTTCTCATTTCTGTTGCTTATTTCGATCGTATCACTGAGTCGAAGTAACGAAAACAAGAAAAAAAAAAACTTACAATTAAATCCGATTATTTTTGCCAAGCAAATATAAAGACATAAACTGCCTGAAAAATGGAACTAAATGAAAGCCAAATACTGATAACGCCAATGTAAAGCTCTTTATGGCAACTTTTTTGTGCCCTATAAAAAAGGAAAAAAACCATCTTCCAGTGCGTCAAGAAAAATACAAAAGAAGGTTCTAAATCCTTTTCAAAAATAAGGTATACAATAATCACCAATGCATGGCGAATAGAAGATAAGGTCATGTTATAGCACCGCTCTTTTTTTTTTTCCTTTTATTATTAATTAATAAATTAATAAACTAATTTCCTTACTTATTCCCTTCACGTACACATACACACACACACTATAAGCAGAGAATATATATATATATACTCATCTCATGCTCTTCGCTATTCGTTGCCTTCTGAAGGCTTCATATTCACATGGTGTAATAGGTAGCGATACTTAGAAGTCTACTCTCAATGACCCTGCAGAGATCACATTCAAAATGTCAAAAACACCCTCAAATACCACGGAAATAAAAGAAAACACAAATATTCTTTGGTTTTAACAGGTGTAGAAAGGGAAAAAAGGAAAAAAAAAAAAAAAACGGTTGGTAGCGACGGAAACATACAAGATACTCGGATATATACACTCATAAGAAAAGAGATAGTTAAAAAATGGAAACAAAGAGGGTTTAAACAAAGAAAAGAAACATGTGTAATAAGAACAATGATTATAAAAGTCAAGGGTTCGAATAGTACGGAGTAAGAAGAAGTGCAGAAAACCTCTTTTTTCTCTTTTCATGTCATTGTTGTTGTCATTTAGTTTGTACGGCTGTGAACTAGTTTGGTTGTTTCCTCATTGATACCAATATCCTCCCTTTCCTCATCTCTAAAAGAAAAACCCCTTCTTGAACCACCAACCAACACATATTCCTTTTTTTTTTTTTTTTCTCTTCAGTCTCAAGATGAATATAGAGTATAGGTGTGATAGAAAAGATGACAAGAAGAGGAATTCTTCTCTCTCTTATTCTTGTTCCTTCGTGAAACTCTTGATTCGTGTCAAATGCAATAATGGTTGAGAAACAATTTAAAGTAAGCATCATAGTTGTCAAAGAAAAAAAAAGCGGTATTGATAACCAGAAGCATAGCCCTATTCCTGATAAGAGGGATACCGAATATTACCGTAACACATATTCTCTCGAGTCATCAAACGAAATAATATGATTCTTCATCTCTTGCATCCTATAATTTCTTAGCATGTCATTTTTCATGTCATTGTATCCATCGACATATAAATAAATATATATACTCTTCACACGACGAAGACATTACTTCCATTCGATAGTTCTTATCTTTATCAATGATCTGCAAACCTTACAAGTTGTGCGGTCTTGTCGCCAGAATATATACACATTTATACATATATATGTTTCTTTGTGGATATATGTCAGTATTAGCCGATCATACTTCTACTTCTTTCCTCTTTTTATGTACACCTAATGAGACACTTTTCGATCATTTCTATTTCTTTTACTATTTCTAAAATCATTTGTTCACCATGTCTAACTCACTCTCATATTACCACGCTATCCATCGTCTTCCATACGTTTCTGGGATATATATATATATATATATCACCTTTCCCTACACTTCTTTTTTCTCAACACATCTTTTTTTTGTTTTCTCCCTCATTCCCTCCCGTTTTTCATGTACGGTGACTCTCCCTGTGCTTGTAGGTTTTTATCGCCTCTCAGGCATTTAACCATTGTTCCATCTTAAAGAATGCACAGGGAGAGATACGAAAAGCAGACATGCGAAGAGAAAAGCATTAAAGACAAACCAAAGAAAAATAGAAAGAAAAAAAAAAAAAAACACAGAAACTGAATGCCTTTTCTTGGACCCATTTCAAAGTGTTACTCATTCTGCTTCACTTTATTATCAATTCTGATAAACCCTTACCAAGTCACCTCAAGTCCTCTTCGTAACCTTATAACACTAAGTAATGAGACATCATTGTCTGTAAACAAATCTATTCTTCTTATTTGTTCTTCCTTATCTCCTGCAAGTTATTCACTTTTCATTCCGAATTCCATCACGTCATTACCTACACCAGTCTGGTATTCCTTCCTTTTTATTTCCCCCAGTCATGAGTTTCTCTGTATAAAATGTGCCTCCTTCTTCGGCATTCATGTTGGGTTATTTTTACTTTGTTTAACTTTCCTTTAGAATTTCTTTCTTGTATTTCTTCATCTGATCATTAACTTTTTTTTTCATTTTGTGCCTAATTGCACATATTTTTGCACCTTTTTGTTTTCATTCACTTCATCCTCAGAGATCTCCCTTTTGTCGTCGTCAAATACTATTTCAATATACGTCTACTTCCTTGTTCTTCTATTCAGGACAATTTTTCTTTTCCCCTTCCGTTGTCACTTTTTTTTTTTTTTTTTCCTTTCTTTTTTCTTCTCCATTACACCTTTTTCTTCGCTTCGTTCATTTCCTCTCTCTATTTTTTTTTTTTTATCATTACTATATTATTAATAATATATATATATATATATATATATATATATATATATATCTTTGATATTCACGCTTACTTCCTCCTCCTTCCCACTCCCACCTCCAGCCCTACCCCACCCCCAACACAGAGAAGGAGTAAGAGGGAGAGAGAGGGAGAGAAACAGAAAGCGATAGAAAGCGATAGAAAAAAAAGGTACACATCTCTCTCTCTCTCCCTATTCACTTACGCACCGAGGCCATCACCAAACATCACCCGAACGTTCCCCGACGGACCACCAAAGGCCCCACCGTTATTGCTGGTGGCGTTATTATTGTTGTTCGGACCGCCTGCGCCAAAGCCCCGGAAGCCGCCGCCACCACCGCCGCCGCCCATACGGCCACCACTACCATATCCCCCGCCGTAGCCGCCACCGTAGCCGCCGCCACCACCGCCGCGATAGCCGCCACCGCCGCCCATACCGCCGTAGCCCCCGCCGCCGTAGCCGCCACCGCCGCCCATGCGACCGCCGCCACCACCGCCGCCGCGATAGCCGCCGCCCATGCGGCCACCACCACCGCCAAAGCCACGGAAGGCAGCGCCACCACCGCGATAGCCGCCACCGCCGCCACCGCGACCGTTGTTATTGTTGTTGGGACGTTTTCCGAGTTCCAAGATCTGCGGAATAACGCACTGGTTGGTCTCATTTAGTAGAGGGATAAGGTCATCGACAATGTTGCGATTCTTGTCATTGAAGAAGGAGATGGCAACACCCATCTTTCCGGCACGACCTGTTCGACCAATACGATGTACGTAATCATCAATATTGCTTGGCAAATCATACTGCACAACAAGAGCAACATTTGGGATATCAAGACCCCTAGAGGCCACATCTGTTGCAACCAAAACCTGGCAATTACCCGACTTGAACATATTAAGTGCTTCTTCACGTTCACGCTGCACACGATCTCCATGAATAGATGCGCAAGTGATACGGTTATTGCGGATAAATCTTTCTAGATAATCGGCATCACGTTTTTTCTCCACAAAAACAAGAATAATCTTACCCTCATTTTCGCGCAATAATGCAAGAAGATGTTCCCGTTTTTCAACATCTTCAACCCAACGAACGTCTTGAGTGATATTTTCTGTTGTAGAACCCACTCGTCCAACCTGAAGGAAGGCGTGACGGTACAAAAACTCTCGTGCGAGCTGCTGAATCTCCGTAGGGAAAGTAGCAGAATACAATAATGTCTGACGTTGCCCAGCACGAGGCATATCACTATCTGGGCCTTGAACAATCATACGTATTTGAGGTTCAAATCCCATATCAAGCATTCGATCAGCTTCATCCAAAACAAGGAATCGAATTCCAGAAAATCTCACATAACCGCGCGAAAACATATCCCACAAACGGCCAGGAGTCGCCACAAGTAACCCACATCCACGAGTAAGTTCATGAACCTGGTGTCGTGGGTCTGCTCCACCGTAAACGACAACACAACGAATTCCGGTACGGTAGGTAAACTTACGACCCTCTTCATGAATCTGTATAGAGAGTTCTCGGGTAGGAGCCAATACAAGTGCTGAAGGAGCAGAATAACTTCCTTGTCCTTGGTTAGCACGATTGAGGTTGTTTACGAGCATATAATTGATGGCAGGAATAAGATAGGCTGCAGTCTTTCCAGAACCTGTCTGCGCGCATGCCATTAAGTCTCGACCCTTAAGTACAACAGGAATACCATATTTTTGTACAGGTGTCGGCTTTTGGTAACGGCAACGGGCAACATTTTCACTTAAGGCAGGAACAAGACTCATAGAGGTGAAAGACTCTGCCGGTTCTGTATCATTTGGCGTGAGTTGAACCTTAATTGCTTCATATTGGTCAAAATTGATTCCAGGTGTATGCTCCTTAAAAATCTCCTCTTCGGGTTTTTCCTCACGATGGTACGCGAAAGGTGGGCTTTCATTGTGGTAGTGAGGAGCACGGGGCATACCACCGTCGTGGCCGAAGCCTCCTCCCCGGCCATAACCCCCACCGCGGCCACCACCACCACCACGTCCGCCATAGCCGACGAACCCGTCTCGAGGAGGGCGTTGCTGGTAGTTGTTGTAGCTGCTGTAGCCGCCACCCTGGGAAGGTCCATCAGCAAAGGATGAGTGGCCTCCCCATGGATTGGCGTGAGGGTTAAAGGTCTGTGGTGCCCCTTGCTGACCGTACATCATGTTGTTGTTCATTTAAACAACTCACACGGTAATAACGAAAAAAAAAAAAAAAAACCTAGCACTGCTAACACTACACGGTAATATTATTTTTTTTTTTGTTTTGTTTTAAGTGTGTATGAGATACATCAAAAGAAAATAATAATAAAAAGAATAAGAATAATAATGGGTTTTTTTTTTTTTTTAAGCATAATTCTCAATAGTAGAGCAGAATCAATTTCAGGTAATATCCCATAAGAAAAAAAAAAAAAAAAAGAAACGTCAATTAAAACTATTACAACTGATACACGAAGTCCCCATATATATATACGGATACACTGGGCACTTCAGAAAGGAATAAAACTGCACATTATGCGTGAAATAATTAAAGAAAAAAATATATATACTAACAAGTTAGGAATGTAGAAAAGGGGGAGAGAGACTTACTTTATGTCATTAAAGCGATAATTTTCCGTTTCGTAGCATATACGCAACTTTTTCCACTTGGCGTTGTTCTTTAAGGCGGCGTTGATGTTTAGCCTCACGCTCAAACAACGCAGCCACACGCTGACGTACAGTCCATCGGTTTCCACACATCACAGGATCCAAAAATGTAGAACTCATTGAACTACCTGAGACATTACGGTTAGTGGTGGATTGTGATACACTACTGAGAGGATAGTAAAGAAGAGGTGGATTCATCATCTCTGGAAGAGTAACCAGAATTCCATTTTTCACAGTACACGCTGAAAACACAGACTGTACTAATTTCAGCCAAATAGTAAATTCCTCAACTTCTACAGCACCACGCTGTCGACACTCTCGTTCCTGTAGGGAAACTAGAGCGGTACTTTGCTCTGCAAGGTAATTCAAGTAGGTATATTCATCCTCCCACTCTTTAAGGATAACAAATCGATCATATTTTTCCTTTTCTGAAATAGCAGCGACACTTAGGCAGTGGTAAGTTGCGCAAACATCATTATATGTTATCACACTTAAAGAATGATCTATACGTAGACAAAGTATAACAGTACATGTCAATAACGTTTCAATACCATATGGTAATCTTTTCTTAGTCTCTGTTAGAATACTACGGTGATCACTTTCCTCATTCGTCTTCTTTTCTTTATTCTGGTCAAAAGGAGTAGTATAGAGTTCAGAAAATTTTGGTTTACTGTAGTACTCATCTTGCAGCGAAGTGATTATTTCATCTATCTTGTATTCATCCAGCCATATTTGAATATATTTGATCCAACAGAGTTCATTATCATTACCAAAGGTGCGGCCAATTTCATTAACAGCATCAATAAACCATAGAAGTTCCCATGCATTTCCCAGATTTCGATTTAACTCATTATGTTGAAATCTATCATTACACGTATTAGATTTACGCAGATGAAAGAAGGGTCGAAGCACCACCCATTTAATAACAGCATAACGATGTACAAAGTAACGCATATGTAGCGCTACAACGTCTGCAAATGTCACTTCGTCTCGCCATAGATATTCTAAGCCAATTGATCGGCTGACAAACCACGCGGTTTGGATTTTATCCATTAACTCAGTAGGTATATTTTCAATAAAATCGTTGTTTTCCAGAAGAAATGCATGACCTTCTCGTGGTGGTTTGGCACTCCAGATCAGACAACTCTGGAAAGAAGACTCCCAATATGGAATTCTTACTTCCCTTTTTGACAACGACAGAGAAGTAGTATTAACTACAAAAGGTGGTTCTTGGTTTTCCAAGATTTCCAATGAACCACACAATAAGAAAAAAAGTCGATAATGAAAAAAGGGAGAATCTAGCACACCCTCTCTTGTTAAACAATCAAGAATATTTTCTGCCTCTTGCTCCTCATTAGTTTGCAAAAACATCTCCAGTACTTCTTTTACACATATGTTACGGCGAAGAACAATAAAAGATCCCGTAGTTTCTCTGTTTTTACTCTTCTTGTTTTTTTCTTTTTCTTCCTTCTTCTCATTTTTCTTCTGTTGCTCATCCTCTTCATAGATCATACTTTTACTCTCAAATGGTGTAAGAGAAGAAGACCTTTTCTCCTGGGGTGGTGGTGGTGGTGGTGGTGGTGGTGTAGTTGTTGAGAATCTATCAGCAGCATCAGCTAACCAATTATCTCCAGGGGGTGTATACAGATTACCTATTGATGATCCAATATTAGAGTGAAATATATTCTCATTTTTATGAGGAGAGAAATGATTTAGTGAAAAAGGAGCACATATAGTTTTAACAACTGGAGTCTTTGATGTAACATATTGATTTGGGTTAAGAGATTCTGTATCCAATAGTGGCTCTGCCACCTCTAATGTATCCATAGGAGAAAATGAAGAAAGTGTATCCATTGAATAACGATAATTGAAATTGGGAATTTTCATTTGTTGAGTGGCAATGTCATGGTTATCATTTTTTATTCCTTTTTGATCAAATTCACAAAGAAAATCCTTTATCATCGCTTCTTGCCACTCTTTATCAGTAATAAATCTACAACTATCTCCACTAAAACGTACTTTTTCTTTATATGCTTCTCGATACCGTGACATAATTTCTTCCATATGAAATATTTCATTTGGAATGAAACGCATAAAAAGTTGCTGGAGACGTAAACGTAAAACCACAGCTTCTTCATCCTCAACAGTTAAATGGCGCCTTTGTAAACGTTTTTGAGAGTTTTGAATGGTGTCACTGTTAAGGTACGTAATCGTTGATTCGTACTCCTTACTATCTCCTAGATTTTTCTTTAACCGATCTTGCACAACCAAGATAGGATCACGAAGCTTGAAAAAAGATGGAGTGTCAGGATCCTTTTCATCACGGGGCAATATATCTATGGAGGAACCTTCATGTTCATGGGTAGTAAAAAAAGAGAAGGGCTTTCTCTTTGATTGTGTTGGTCTTCCTTCATACTTTTCCGCCAAGGCATCAAATAGTTCGTCCCAGTGATCTTTATACACAAAGAGTATAGTATCAATATGGTTTAACTGTTGAGGATTGTGTTTTTCGTAGAAACGAACAAGACGACTGCGGATATCACGCTCCTCACAGAATGAGGAAGTGATTGATGGAAAAGACATGACTTTTCAACTATCTTTTGTTGTATTCTTCTTACTCTTTTCGTTGTTTACTCTCTTAGTTATTTTTTTTTTTTCTGTGGTCTTTGAAAATAGAGTTTAACAGAAAGAAAAAAAAAAAAGAAACCAAAAAAAAAGAAAAAAATATTTATTAGATAATTCATTTTTTTTTTCTTTTTTGTTAATCCATTCTCAGAATTTTTTTGTTTAATTTGGTTCCATTGAGCTTTCGTTTCCATTACCCATCACGTTTTTTTTTTCTTTTTTTTTTTTCGTACCCTCGCTATACATTGGAGTAGCAATAATACCAATACTGCAACTCCCTCTGATTGGTCTCAGCGTCGTTTGACTTTCTTCCCACTTCTTATGAGCATCAGGTCTTCTCTCATTCGTTCAACTTCAATGCGGTACGGTTCCCACAACTCAAGTAGTTCATACTCTAGTGAAGAGAAAACAGTTGGTTCGAGAGCACGAAGACGCTGATATTGTTCTTCCACCACTTGATAACCAACCGCAGGTACAGCCACTATCGGTTTCTCTGCCTCTTTTCTTTCTGCCGCTTTTGATTTTTTCGATTCTGGTACCATTGATACAGAAGGCTTCTCACGCTGCTCATACGATACTCGAAACATATCCTCCGATACTGGAAATTTTTCAATTACAGTGTGAGCAATTGCGACATACATCTTTGCAAGAAGATTTGACTCTGCAAGTGGATTAGTAAAAGAAGAAGGTAATGAGGTAACCGCAGATGTAGCAACAGTAGCAGCATTAGTAGCATTAGTAGTACTAGTACTAGTAGTTGTAGCTGTTGTAATAATAGTAGTAGTACTAGTATCGTCTTTTTTCTTAAGACGACGAAGACCTTGTGGCAAAGGTTCTTTTGGTTGCCAACCTCTCGCAATAGCACGTGCAAAGAAATGTGCGGCACGACTATAATCTTTCGCTTTAAATGCTCCATTAGCAAGAATAAGCATAGCTTCTGTAATGGATTCTGGAGGAGCTGGTAATTCTTCTGGATGCATTAAGGCTGTTTCTACAAATTTATCATAATCAGATAACGCGGCAGCAACGTCTTCACGTGCACTCTGAGGGCGTTCACAACTTCTTTGTTGAAATGCTCTGGCACGTTGAAGATATGCCATTGCTGTGAAATGATCATTCCCTGGAAGACTTAATAAAAGTGTAAGATCAACAATAGCATTATCAAGGTTGTTCAACTTCCAAGCATAAACCGCTGCTCGATGAAGGAGTGTTTGTCGACGACTTAGTATGGATTGTCTCTGATCCAGAGCTTTGGAAAGTTCTTCAACTTCCAATTTGGTGTCATTAATCATAGCAGAAACATCTGCTGCACGGGAATAATATTGTGGACAATTTCTGTGCAATCTCTGCAAATGACGTAAATTCTCCAATGCTAAAGGTGCATCTTGAGCAGCAATGGCACTCTCAACAGCATCTTCATAAGCAATTACATACGCTGAATTAGCAGCAGCCAAGTCAAAGAAATTTTGTGCCTGTTGCGATAATTCTTCTATTTTAAGACTATTAATTGAGCTTCCTGGCACGTTTGCAGATATTTGAACAGCTTGAGCATCTCTCACAAGTCCCAGGGAATAATATGCATGGGATTCATAAAAACTTGGAGATTCAAAATAATTTGAATTATTACCAGGATTTGAGTTTAAAGAAATATTAGTTACACTTGTCAATCGAAGTAAATCGTTTAAATACTGCTCTGCAACATCATATTGTCCAGCTTTTAATGCAGATTGACCAGTATGGGCTAGTACCGCCATAGTAGGTTCACTCAGTGAAAGATATTTCTTATACTCTTCACACGCCTTGTTATACTCCTCCAAGTACTCGTAACAGGCACCACGAAGAGCATAAGTAGCTGGAGTAAGCGGATCTATACGACTACTGAGTGTAAAAATACCAAGTGCTTCCCTATGATCCCCTTTTCGCATTGACAACTTTCCAATACGAAACAAAATAGAAGCAGTTCGTATTCTGTCCTCCTCAACTTTTACTTCCGATATAATTGTAGACTTAGATACATTTCCAGTAGGACGAGACTCTCCTTGTCGAAAGTGTTCAAGAGCTGCCTGTAAATAATTCTGCGCCTCCTGAAATTGTCCTGCCATCTCCTCGGCATCTGCACGTTCCATACACCACTGCACAGGATCCACCGAACTACTTACTGTTCCTGTCATTTCCCGAAGTCGTCCCTCCTGGCGAGTGGCGTAGGCCGCCCCATTTGGTCCTCTGTAGCGGTCGGAGAAGGTGCGGTACGCCGGCGGCTCGCGACCCGCGTCCAAGACGGCACGCCAGTAGTCCTCCACAAGTCGGCGGGGCAACGGGGTGATGGAGTCGCCGGCCCCAACGGGTCCTTCTTGTGTGCCCTTCTCTCTCCCCATATATATATATATATATATATATATATTTCTTCTTCTAGTGGTGGTGGTGGTGGTGATGATAGGCTTGGGTTCTTCTTCGTGTGTATAGCTTCGTCAAACTGGTAGTGAACCCCCGCTTCCACTTTGTTTTTTTTTTTCCCCCACCTCTCCTAGTAATAATAATAATAATAAACGAGAAGAAAAAAAAAAAGAAAAATAGGAAAATGGATATAGAAATCAAATATAAAGGTATTTAAAAAGAAAACGAAAAAACAAGAAAAAGAAGAAAAAAAAAAAATAGAGAAAGAAGAACGAAAAACAATATGCGATCATTCGCAAATTGTCTCGTCTAGGAAAATAATCAAAAAAAAAAAGATTGGAATATGCGTAGACAAGCGAGTACATTGGGGATACGTACATAGGCGATAGATATCGCAGACCAAAGATTCCAAGATTCACATAAACAAACAAACAAACAAACAAACAAACAAACAAAAATAAATAAATAGAAAAATAACTATTCTACATCCAGACCTAATGGCTCTCCTACTTGATCTCCAGTAGTATCTGAGGCTTCGTCAACATCCAAGTAAGCACACTTTTCTTCTTCACCAGAAGCTGTCATACAAGCGCCAAGAGGTGGCATAATATCAGGATTTACCCATCCACGTTGTAGTGCAGCAAACTCCTGTATACGAGAATCATAAATTTTTCTTCGTTCCAGTTCCAATATTTCGTCATCACGCAAAAGACCAAGTCGTGGGATAAAGCTACTGTGTTCGTTGGTAGTTTTGTTGGGCATATCATACATCGTACCACACTTACAAAAATTTTTTGACCATTCTCCCAAAAGATACTGCTGCCGTTGTACAAAACAAAACATACCTGGTCCCTCTCGTAGTCCCATTGCCCAGTACCCATCATACCAATCACCATTGGCTTGAAGTAACAAGGCCCTTCCATCACAGTGGCCATCACGAAATTCTCCTTTAATAACATCTCCATTAACAAGAAAAAGTCTTCCAAAGCCGTTTCGTTTATCTTCACGCCATTCACCTTCGTAAATCTCACCATTTTCCTCCCATGAGGTACCAAAACCATCACGCTTTCCAGCAAGCCATTCACCTCGATAAACACGTACCCAAGGAGATTTCTCATCTGTTCTAACCCATAAAGTCCCCTCTCCTTCACGTAGTCCATTCCGAAATTCACCACGATATTTAAGACGCTTTTGAATTAATTCCCCAAAACCTCCAAAACGTCCATCTTCCCATTGTCCTTCATATGTCGCAGTTTTGCTGGAATTAAGGAATATACGTTTCCGTAGTCCATGAGTTTCTACTTTTCCACTTTCTCGTCTTGCACGTGATTTGGAACGTTCTATAATAGTTGAATCGTCAGGTGTAGTAAAAACTTTGTCAGCACCTTTTCGTGGGTCAGCACCATAAAGTTTTCCGTAAAGAATAAGAAGTTTTTCTTCAGCTTCAGTAAGAGGTTTTCCAGCAATATCAGAATTATAAAGCTCTTCTACATTATCTTCACCAAGAACAGTTTCATGTTGGCGCAATTTTTGCAATAGTACTCCCCTATCTGAGATTAAAACCATGGGTTTTATTTCACATTTCAGACGTCGAAAAAGTTGTAAACTTTCTAATGTTTCAATAGATTCATTATAGTTAAGAGGGCTTATACATCCAATAATAAATGAAGCTTCAAAACCACAAATTAACTGCGACATAAGTCTAGAAAACTTACATTCCATAAAAAAAGACTGACTACGACGAATAAGATCACGATGTTTCTCTGGTGTGGTAACCCATAACTTACGTTTTTCCCTATATTCAAGTGAATGAATAATGGCTGCACACAAAAGTGTAACACTTACATTTATACAACTACCTTCTTTAAGGAGTTCACCTCGCATACCCTTGGCACCTACCCGATCAGTACCTTTCATGTGTACAAATGTCATGGTACGAATTAAATTCCTTGATCTCTCTGCCTTATCCGTAGTGGTAATAATAAGTTGTACAAACCCATGCCACCTTGACATTCTATTATAGGAACGTTGAATACGCTGAACGTTGCCTCGATTCAGTTGCGCCATAAATTCATCAAAAGTTTGTACCTCTACTGTTGTTAAATTAGGTATTGTAAGTCGGTCTAAATTATCGCGAGAAACCATGTATTGAGATTCTTTGGTTTCCTCATTATCCCCGCGCAAGTTATCCTCTACTGCATCACGACTCATCTCCCAGTAACGTAATAAAATATCCGTATCATATTCGTCTGACTGAGCTTCAAGTCTTTGATATAAATCTTTTACAGTATCTTGAATAAGACCAGTATTACTGACATCACCGTAAAGAGTATATGTCTTACCTGTATCTGTATAACCAGTAGTAACAACATTACAACTCACACCTTTTATTGCGAGATCAACCATTTCTTTTCCAATAGTAAGATAAATATCATTTTGTGTCGTGTTACAAGGGAAGTAGTAGTCTGAATCATACATAAGACCTTCAGAAGCACCTGGTGCAAAGGCAACAAGTTTATCCTCATCCACCTTGACATGAAGTCGTACCTTACTTAGGTCATCCTCAGTAATAGGTCGTTCCCGTACCGCAACACGAACTCTTTCAAAAAAAGGAACGTCGTCCATTTATTGTTAGGAATTTCTCTAACGTAGTTCTTTTGGTTTACCTCCTTTTTATACCTTTTCCTGAGAATCCAAAAAAAAAAAAAAAGAAGGGGACTGGGGAATGGGACGTCCGTTCTTTTTTCTTTTTTCTTTCACTTTGAAATAATAATAAAGAAAATGATAAAGAAGAGAAAAAGAAAATAGGTTTGTGTTTGCTTTTAGCACTGAAATTAGAGCAAAGATTTAGAGAAAGAATTAAGAGGATTACACCTTTATAGATGTGTATCCTCTACAGAATTATATATATATATTAATTTTTTTTATGGAAATATCATAGAAATGACAAAGGAGAAAAAAAAGAAATCAATGAAATCGTCCGGGCAGACTTCACTTCTTTGGCTGACTCTTCGGCACAGGAATGCGCTCCTGAGGCTGGGTCATGAACAGTTGTACGTGGCATGGACTGCACATGTACGGTGTAATACGACCATGAGCACGGAACGTGCGGCGACGCATGCGGGCGGCCTGATCCACCTGCACGTGCTTAATCACCATCTTGTTGGGGTCAAGACCCTTCTCAATGGCGTTCGCCTCTGCGTTCTTCAGCAGCGAGAGCATCGCCACAACCGACTTGCGTGGCCAGCGGCCCTTTGTCTGGCCCCATTCCTTCGCCTGTCCGGTGCGTCCGGTCTTACCATTGTAGCGCTTGAAGGGAATGCAACGGGTCTTGGCAAGAACTTGGCGGTAGAGTTGTTGTGCCTTGCGAAGAGGCATGCCATTGATCACATTGGCAGTCTCAAATGTGTTCTTGTAGTGGCAACGAAGATCACTGACCTTCGCCTTTGCGCTCTTTGACGACACCTGGGGCTTGCGGGAGTAGTGAACCATCGCTCGTCGAGGATTTCTAAGAAAGTAAGAAAAGAAGAAAAA